CCCCGGAGCCCTCCTGCCGGCACGGGGCAGTGCGATCGCTGAGCTCCCCTGGGCACAAACTCCCGCGTCGGGCGCTGCCAGCCCCCAGACCCCAGCCCTCTCCCTCCTTGAGCCTCCTGGCCCGCTGACCTCCGTGCGATCCCTTCTTACCTGGAGCCCCCGGACCCAGAAAACCCGGGGACTCCTAAATACGAAGCCCCGGGCAGGCCCGGGCTTGTCGCCGGCACCACTTCCTGCCTGTGGCCGTGGTGGGAGGGCCGGGTCTCCCCTCTGCCCCTCAGGCTAGGGTCGGGTTCGTCCAGGTTCCCCCAGTCAACTCCGCCGTGAAGATTGAAGGGTGCAGGCCCAGACTCCCCGCTTGCGCTCCATCAGGGACTCAGTTGCTTGGGCTCCCGATCACTTCATGTGCCAGCGACCCCTGGAGTCCAGGGCCCCCAGCCCTGTCTGCCCTCAGGGACCACGAGCCACTGCAGTCCCCGGGTCCCTTAGGACCCAAGAGTCCAGGCACCTCTTCCCTCCTCTCTCCTCCAGGGCCCACCAGCTCTGAGCACATCATGAAGACAGGGGCCCTTTTGCTTCAGGGGTGAGTTGGAGGTCTGATTATTGTGGAGCGGATTGGCGGGTGACACCCCGTTCTGATTCTGCACCCTACTCCATTCCTGTGTAGTTTCATCCAGGATCGAGCAGGGCACATGGGTGGGGATACCCTGGAGCTGGCCATGGAGCAGGCACCCCAGGACCCGTCCACCAAGAAGCTGAGCGAGTGTCTCAAGCGGATTGGGGATGAACTGGACAGCAACATGGAGCTGCAGAGGTGTGGCTCCTGGGAACCCAGCATTCCAACCGGGGCTCCCCTCAGCCTGCAGAACCCCTGCCCCTTGCTCCTGGACTTCCAGTCTTCCCCTCTCCCAGCATCTTGGAACCCTTCTACAGGGGGTTACGTTCCCTGCCTTCCCAAGTGTCCATCCTTCTGGGTATAACAATGCTCACCTGTGATCCCAGCACTCTGGAGGCTGGGGCAGGAGGATCGCTGTGAGTTTGGGGCCAGCCTGGGCTACATAGTGAGACCCTGTCTCAAAGCAAACAATAAAAACCTCTAAATGTCCATCTTGTCCCCTTCCAAACCCCATTGGCCTCTTGCTTTCATTCCAGTCTAGTTTGGTCCTCAGCTTCCTGAACTTAGGCATGGTGCTGACAGCAGAATTTCCAGATCCTTCCTCCCCAGTGTCTGTTCTCCCCTTTCCTGCAGGATGATTGCAGCCGTGGACACAGACTCTCCCCGAGAGGTCTTTTTCCGAGTGGCAGCTGAAATGTTTGCTGATGGCAACTTCAACTGGGGCCGGGTTGTCGCCCTTTTCTATTTTGCCAGCAAACTAGTGCTCAAGGTGGGCAGCTGCAGGGCAGTGAGGCTAGGGGTCCTCCCCTAAGACCTGTGAGGGCCTGGGGGTCATCGGGTCAACCCCTGCCTCAGCCCAGGTACCACAGTGGGAAGGGAGAGAGGTGGCTGTAGGCTGTCTGCACTTTCATTTATTCATTCAACAAACATATCTATACTTGGTACCCCAGACATAGCTCTGGGCATAGCAGGCTAGGGCCCTGTGCTTACAAGCTCAGATTGTAAAACAGGTGCTGCAGGGTACTGTGATTGAGCATTGTGGACTGGACAGACCTCCGAAAGCAGGCCACAGTGAAAGTGATGTGGATGTGCTGAGAAGTATGCTTTGAGAGATAAGGATCAAGAAGCACAGTCATCTCAGAGAGGGAAGAGCAAAGGCCCTGAGGCAGGGCCAAGCCAAGTGTAGAAGAGTGAGGAAGCCAGCTGAAGCCAGCCACTGTGTTGAGAGTGAGGTGCGGGAGAGGGCCGAGTTGAGCAGGGCCAGTTGGGTGGGGTCTGGGGTCCACTGTAGAGACTTTCATTGGCCGGGTTTGCTTATTTATTTTGGCTTTACTGGTGCTTGAGGCCAGGGCCTCCTGCATACTAGGCAAGTGCTCTACCATCAAGCCACACTCCCAGCTTTTTGTTTGAGACAGAAGCTCACAAAGATGGCCTGAAGTTTCCATCCTCCCTGAGCCTCCCAAGTATCTGGGGTTTTCAGTGTGTGCTATCTCCCGATGTGGCTGGGGTTTTTTTGGGGGGGATTGTTTTATTTGCTTTTGCAGTACTGGGGGTTGAACCCAGGCCTCCCCACTGAGCTACATTCCCCAGCCTTTTTTCATTTGAGACGGGATCTTGCTAAGTCCCCCAGGCTGGGCTTGAACTTGTAACTGCCCTACCTGAGCTTCCCAAGTAGCTGGGGTTATAGGCACATGTCACTGTGCCCAGTGTTGGTTTGATTTTTTTTTTCAGCATTGGTTTTAAATAGAAGGAATAAGGCAACCCGATTTATGAATTTAAGAGATTAGCTAGCAAAACCAGCAAAATGTTAATTGTACATCCAGGCTGCAGCAGTCAGGCTACTCGTGGTGGAGTGTTTTCAGCTTTTCCCTGTGAAGATTCTCATGGGACAGTGTTGGTGGGAGGAGCCCAACGAACTATGCTGGCCATCTTGTGTCAGAATAAAGAAGGAAGAGCCAGGCACAATGGTGCCCATCTGTAATCCAGCATCAAGGAAGGAGAATCGCAAGTTCAAGTCCTGCCTGGGCAACTTATTTAACACCTGTCTCCAAAAAGGCTGTGGATGTGGCACAGTGGGAAGGGCCTGGGTACTGCAGGAAAAAAGAAAGGCCTGCTGGGCGTGGTGGCGCACGCCTGTAATCCCAGCACTTGGGAGGCTGAGGCAGGAGGATCGCTGTGAGTTGGAGGCCAGCCTGAAGTACACAGCGGGACCCTTTCTCCCCCCGCCCCCCCCTGCTGGGCGTGGTGGCGCACGCCTGTAATCCCAGCACTTGGGAGGCTGAGGCAGGAGGATCGCCGTGAGTTGGAGGCCAGCCTGAAGTACACAGCGGGACCCTTTCTCCCCCCGCCCCCCCAAAAAAAAGCCTGGGGCAAAGCTTAGTAGCGTGTGCCTAGCACTCGATGAGAGGTTGGGGTTTGACCCGCAGTACCACAGAGAGCAGGAGTCCGCCATGCACAGGGTTCTGCTGCTAGCAAGGAGCCCAGCCGGGTGACTCCGGTCACAGTGCTACTGAAAGACGACTCCCTGGGCCCCAGGTGCTTGCAGTGGTGAGAAAGTGGAGAGATTGTGTGTGTACGTGTGCTCGTGTGTGTGTGCGTCTGTGTGGCACTGGGGATCACAATGCAGGTTTTGCACATGCTAAGAACACACTTGATACTGGGCTGCTGTCTGAGCCCCTTGTGCGTTTAGGGTTGTGTGATGGACTTCAGTGTGGGGGTGAAGGGGGCAGCAGTCAGCATGACAGTGGGTACTCTGGCACTAGGACAAGAACAGAGAAGCAGGCAGATGAAGACTGGGGGTGCTGGGAGAGTAGGTCAGGATGGGTGGTCTGCAAAGCCCCCCCCCCAAGTCACATTTGACCTGAGCTTTGAGCAGTGAGTGGGATTTTGCTTGGCTGGGGCCTCTTTAGTCAAAAGGGTCAGCACGTACAAAGGTCCTGAGGGAGAAAAGGGTGGACTTCTAGGCCTAGTACTGGCCACTCAGGAGGCTGAAGCAGGACGATTACTTGCTTGAGTCCAGGAGTTCCATACTAGCCCAGGTGGTGTGAGACCGTGTCTCTAAACAAACAGCCAACCACAGGGCAGCAGAGTGGTGCACACCTGTAATCCCAGCACTCGGGAGGATCTGGGTCACAAGTTCAAGCCCAGCTGAGCAATTTAGCAATTTAGAACCTGTCTGGGGGGGTGGGAGGAGCTGGGGATGTAGCCCAGTGAAGGCTTTCAGTTCAGCCCCTAATACCAGATACAAGCATTAGAAGGTCTGTGCAGCACAGTACAGAGGCAGGAAAGGACAGTGAAATGACACCAAGTCAGCCCTCAGGGGTCCTGAGGGTGCTGGGGAGCCACAGTGGGTTAGAGGCAGGGCAGGTGAGAGCAACATAACCTGGTTTAGACTTTATTAGGCTGACTCCAGCTGGGGGAGGAAGAGACAGCCAGGGGAGGCAGAGGGCTGAAAAGGCAGGCTCAGGCCCTTTCCCTAGGCAGTGGGGCCGAGGCCCGCCCCTCATGCTGTCGTTCTGTGCAGGCGCTGTGTACCAAGGTGCCCGAGCTGATCAGGACCATCATGGGCTGGACGTTGGACTTCCTCCGAGAGCGGCTGCTGGGCTGGATCCAGGACCAGGGTGGTTGGGTGAGACGTCTAGGGGCCCTTGGGCCTTCCCGAGCCCCCATGGGTGTGCCCCTTCCCATCCCAGGTCACCAGATGGGGTCTGTGATACTCCTCACAGGGTCAGCCCGCGTCCCCGACTGCGCTGTGATCCCTCCCTCTGCCCCCACTTCCCCAACTCCAGGTTCCCTGTGACACCACCCCCCCACCAGCTCCTGAGCCCTGCAGGCCCTGATCCCCGAGTGCAGGCTCGGGAGCAGCCTGCTGGAGCGGCTGAGGTGGTGTCTCTGTCCCCAGGACGGCCTACTCTCCTACTTTGGAACCCCAACGTGGCAGACGGTCACCATCTTTGTGGCCGGAGTGCTCACCGCCTCGCTCACCATCTGGAAGAACATGGGCTGAGGCCCCAGCCGCCTGGGACTGTGTCTTTTCTGCATAAATTATGGCATTTTGGTGGGAGGGAACGGGGACTGGGCATTTTTCTTACTTTTGTAATTATTGGGACGGGAGGGAAGTGTGGCCTGCAGGGAGCTGGGGCAATAAACCTCCTTCAGCCACAGTCTGGAGTCGGAGTCACCTGGGGAGAGCAGGTTGTGGGCCATCGCTCACCTGATACCTTGCGGACCTGGAGAACCTGGCCGGTCTTTTTCTGGGGGTGCCCGGTGCCGTCCGTATTAAAGTACACTCGGCCCAAGCCCCAGGCTCATCCCGCCTGTTGCAGCTCAGGCCCGCAGCATGTGCTGGGGCAGGGAAAGTGGGCGACAGGTCCAGGAGAGGGGCCCAGAGCTGAAGGTGGCCAAGGGGACAGAATGGGACCTCGGCTGGAGCAGACCTGGAAGGTGCTGGTCTCCCAGAGAGCCCAGGGAAGGAAGAACAGGAGACCACTCCCTTGTCCTGCGCGTGTGTGCGCGCGTGTGTGTGTGTGTGTGCGCGTGTCCCTCCACCTCTGGGTCTCTGTCCCTTTCTCTACTACTTAGGGCCACCTCAAGGCAAGGGAAATCTTAACATTTGCCTCTTTTCTTTTGGTCCTGGGGATCAACTCAGGACCTTGAGCTTGAGAGGCGAGTGGCAGCGGCAGCGGAAACCACTGAGCTAAATCCCCCGCTCCCCCGCCCCTTTTCTCTTTTTGAGAGGTGGGGATTAAAACGAGGTCTCACCTCCCCAAAGCGCTGGAATTACAGGCCAGCGTGTGCCACCACACCCACCCGCTTCTGGGTTTCTGTCCCTCTCCAGGGCCCTCTGCCCCCTCCCAATCTCCCTTTAGGTCTCTGCCTCCCCTTCATACTCCTAGTCCCCGCCAACCCCGGGTTTTCAGTCTTGTTTGTCGCAGTCCCAGCTCCTCTACCGACTGCCCGGGAGGGGCCCCTTTCAAGGTCGCCTCTCCCTCTGGGACCTGCCCGAGGCTAAAGGTCCCCGGCTGCCGCCCGCAGTGTGGTCAATGAGTAACTCCCGCGCCTGGCCCTCCTCGGCTCTCACCCAGACACCGCGTCAAGGGAAAGCTATGAGGGGACCCTGGGCTGCCACCCGGGAGAGGGGCACCGGGACCACGGCAGGAGCCATGCAAAGGAAGAACCCGGGGACACAGGAAGCGACAAGGAGCACCGGGGCTCCACCTGGCCGCCCCCCCGGGGCGGGGCCGGGAGCTGGGCGGCTCCAGGCCTGGTGGCGAGCAGAGCTGAGCGAGGCCCGAGGGCTAA